CGTAACATAATTTCAAAAAAGACAAAAAAATGTTCGTTTTTTACACTTTTCGAGGTTTTTTCATTTTTTCACGGGAAAAAGGTGTCAGGTAAAGGCAAGGCATATATATTCTTGACCGCCTTGAAGTTCTCTATCCAACCGCATATGATATGTTCGAAAATAGATTCCACTGAAAGTTTGCTTTCCATGCATCTTACTTCAGAATAGCAGAAAATACTCTATTTTATTCGCTCATTCTGCTTCTGTGCCTAAAGCCAGTAAAAAATATTCTCTTAGTTTCGAAGGTTTCAGCGAAACTTTTCTAGAAACCGTTGAACTTTTGGATATTCAAGCAATAATTGAAATTATACGCGTTAATATATACAAAAACTGATTTTGCGTAGAAATTCATATTTTGAGCTTTCTAGGTTAATCTATGGCTGTATTACTTGCAAATCATCTGAAGGATTTGTCGAAAAGACGCTATTTTTCAATGTTTTGCTATTTTTCAGCAAGAAAAAAACATTTCGAAAAAAGCTCTTTGTTGTTTTGTAGTCTATTCTTTGGTAAATCTAATCGTGACAAAATATTGGGTCTACAAACTCCCACAAAACCTGTGAAAACCTTGCGAGAAGAGTATGTCTCGGTTTTGGCCTGTATTTTAAATGCGTTATCAAAAACCTAGTTTTAGAGCTAGAGTTTCGAAAGGTGCATGGCTATATTCAATTTTCAACGCTGAATTCGAATATCCCAGTTGCAAGGCTCTTTGACCTTAGGCTGCCGAACTACGGCGCTTTTCCGAAAAAAACGAGCATTTTTTGGATTTTTAACTCCCTCTCAGTATTTTGAGGATATCTCGGCGATGAAACGGCTTCGGGAGTCGGAGTGTGATATTTGTGATCTCCGTTGAATTCTCCATCGAATGGTGTACAACACGTCGGAAAATAAAATTTACTTGATCTTTGCAAAGTTTTCACCTTATGACGAGTTAGACGATATCCAAAACGAAAATACATGGTTTTCTCGTAAAATACACATTTCCATAAAATTCTGAGACTGCAAATCGATTCCTCTCGAAAATTTGGTTCGAAAAAAACTACTTCCACTATATCAGACATGTACGTTACTGACTTGAGACTCAGCCCATGTCGATGAAATCGAGGTATTTTTAACAATTGATCGCGATTCTTAAAAAGTCGCAGATTAATTGCGATTAATTGGCGATTCCGATGATGTTTCTTTGCTTTAAAAATCGGCAATTAATTGCAATTAATTGTTGATTTTAAGCGATGGAACGGTTATTGTTATTCACCATTTTATTTTGCAGTAAGGTATCTATATAAGAAACACGATTTCAACGAGAAATACACTTCTACTGAGATCATCACATTTTATTTTAGAGTAAAACGGAGTTATCAAAAGTCTTGTATATGGTTTCTTAGAGTTTTAAGGCGAGGAGCCCAGTGAACAGCTGGTATCTGGGCAATCTCCAGAATCGAGTAACGCTCGGGCTTCAGTTGGTGCTAAGAACCTTGCTGGTTGATGTGCATGTCATTATACATAATAAACAATGAGAAAACAGAAAAAAATATGTATTTCCTAAGACAGAAAAAAATCGTCAATTAATCGCGATTAATCGTTAAAATCACCAAAAATTTGGCAATTAATCGTGATTAAACGCACTATTAATCGTACGACTTTTCACGATTAATTGCCAATTTTTATGCGATTTTTAGTACATGGGAGGACATAAGCTCCTACAGCACACTTATTATCACTGTCATGTATAGCGCCTGAACAGTTAATGCATTGTAATGCAATAAATTTATGTCGTTGAAACATGTGAAGAACTTCTATGGCCTACAATGAGGTAGAACATGCATAACCCGCTGCAATGCGTTTCAGATTAATGCATTATAATGCGATAGGAATTTAGTAACGCCTTCTAACTAGTAGCACGTTAGTCGATTTATTGCCTTGTAATATTATAAAAATATGAGAAGTCGTTGATAAAAATGCATTATAACACTATAATTTCAATTTTTTGGCACGTAACGCGTTACGCTAATGCGTTAAGGACATGTTTTTTCTAAATTTATCGCATTATAACACAATAGAAAAGCTAATACATTACAGAGGATTACGATATGCCTAACGCATTATAATGCAACGAATACGAAAAAAAGATCCTGTGGGTAGTAATGTTTTCTTTATTAACTTCAATAAATGATGATTGTTGTTAATCATTTCATTGCTTATTTTTAACATGAGAATGGAACTCAAGGCGGCAAACAGAAGATAAAACCGTATAGCAATGAAACATATTTTTCATTTTTGTTTTCAATAAGAAAGAATACCAAAAACTTTCAAGTTTAGTGGCAAAAACCTGTAAGCATATAAACTGCTTTACAAAATCTAAAGATGGCCCAATTCGGAGCCTTCGCAGGGAAGTACGAATCAAGTCGAAGTTTTTTAAGCTTTAAGTTCAGCTGAAAGATTATCATCTAATTCATGTTTTACCTTAGAAGTTTCAGCACGATGGCTACAACATTCATTCGTCACTATTGGGATATTTCATATCAAAAGATATTTTGTGTAAAATAATGCACTTGTAAGTCATATATTCATATAACACGATCGATTGTATTTGGAAAGATATTAACTGGGGTTTTAAAAATAAAATAATAGGAATCTAGCAAATAAGGAGATATCTCTTTTCACATAAGATATCCATGTGAAGAATATTTCGTCGTCCCAGCGCGTCGACAAAGAGAACAGAAAACATGTACAAAAGCAGATATCCCCTTGTTTGCTAGTTCTCTAATATCATATATTTTTTTTGTCTTTTCATTTCACATGCAAAAAAAAACATTATAAAAACTTATCATCCACCTTACGATACAGTGACATCTATTCATCTAATATGTGATTCGTTAAGAGATTCGATGAATAGTAGAAAAGCAATGGCATCTCGGCTCAGTTCTATTATATCATCTAACTTTAGTTTTTTGATTACCTACAATAAATTATGTTGTTCAGTTTCTGGTTAAGGAAAGCCTGATCTGGAAAACGTAGTTTCTTTTTATAAATATTGTTTAGCACCGGTCAATCAGGCTTGGAGTAAGTAGTATTAGAATGACTGGATGCAAAAGGTCATTGTTTCTTAGAAATTTTTTGAAAATTCATACAGGTAGGATAATCTGCTCATTGCTGTGTGATGAATGAAGATCAGCTAGGATTTTTTTGCTGCGCTATTGCAATGAATTACTTTTTGAGTGCACAAAGTTGAAATATAGGCTATATAATTGAAGCAACTAGTAATGTACTTGTTCCCAAGTACTCCATTACACATTGTAGAATGGCCACTGGTACTATTGATAATTTATTGATAACCATACCCGATGTTAGTCTTGTGAATAGTACTAATGATACTTATAATCATTCACAAACACAATATCAATATAAAAGTCAACAAATGTTGACTCGTATGGATTCCATTGATTCACATCACATTCCATGGAATAATATTACAGATGATGCAAATTATTCGGATGTTATATCTCAGGCTGAACGTGCCATTGACGGTGGAATATTACCATTGAGAATTGCACAAGGTTCGAGTGGAAGTTATTTTGTACGAAATTTAGAAGGAGTAAGTATACAATACTTTATATAGGGGAATACAGATACTCGATTCATTTTTTGTTTTTTAATCATTCTGAAGACAATATTTGGATAATCGAGCCGATTGTCGATGCTAGGACTTCTATTAACGTTATATAAAACTGTTAAAATTAGAGATCATTTTTTTCTTCTTCATTTTAGAAAACAATTGGAGTGTTTAAACCAAAAGATGAAGAACCGTACGGTCGACATAATCCAAAATGGAGAAAATGGTATGTTTAAGAGGAGAAAAAAATTCTGGTTATTTCTAGCTGACTGTTGCAACTTACCGAGTACACATGTTAAATAAATAGTACATTTAATTTTTGAGTAGTGTGAATAGTAAAAAGCTGTCGTTTCTTTGAAAAAATGGAAGTTCCAGTTTCTCAGTATTTACTAATGTAACGTACATCCTTGAACGTCTCCTCACACAAAAGTTTCCTTCCTTCCTTAAACTTGAAGTACAGTCTGATCAAAATGCAATCTTGCATTCTGGCTGAGTGTAGCCGAAATGATGGGTACATTGTAAAAAATAATTATGGTAAAAAGTGGAAAAAAGTAGAAAAGTGAAGGATCCACAATATTCCGCATCGTAATGTTTATTCTAGGATATTCTACCATATTTTGAGTAAAAATTTTAGCAGAATTCTCCTTTATGTCTCACAATATGCCACAATTTCGCGAAAAATTATAAGCTGTCAAAGCATTTGTTCACGATTGTGAGACATAATGAGAATTCTGCTAAAATTTTGCTCACAATATGATAGAATATCCCAGAATAAACATTACAATGCGGAATATTGTGGTTTCTGCTTTTTTCCACTTTTTATCGTAATCATTTTTTACAGTATAGTGAGCGTAAATGAAGAGTTTAAGCAATTAGATAAAAACTATACGTTTCATAAGTTTTCTTATAATCGAACTGTGTTTCTTATTCCTTTTTTTCTAGTAGATACGATGTGCTTTATGAATCCATGCGTTTATTTATAATAATATAGAGTACTTTACATCTGCAGAGAAATTCGTTGAATGATGGTCTGGTTCAAAAATCTAAAACAGATCAAAATTTGAACTTGAGATCCACGTCAAAAAAAGAATTCTAAATCTTTCTAACATGAGTAAGAGATGAATACTGTCTTCTCAAAAGTGGAATGTGTAATTACATTTGTGTGAGATCAACTACCAATAGGGAGATTTTGTCGAAGTTTCACGACGTTGGGATTGTGCATTTGCAACATCAAATACATGGCCATGTGTGAACTTTCTATAATTTCACACGTGTTTACAAGCGAGTTTTTTTTTTCACATTTTGTCCACACACCATTTTACAACTTTCATTAGTGATCACATGCGAAAAATATGACGCGAAAAGTTTCTGTAAACAGTTCACACATTGCCACAAGTGAAATCACGTGCCCATGCACACCATTTTGCGATGTTCACGTGCGAACGTGTGTATACGCAGTTTTATATACAAAAATAATAAAGCAAATAAATCACTTTATCTCTAGAGAATCGCGTTTGAGAAGGTTAATAACATAATGTGCGACGTTTTTTTTTGCTCAGGTTAAATTATCAAAAATAAAATCAGAATTAGTTAATCCATGACGTTTTCTACTTTGTGACTCGTTATGAACGACAGCATTGTCTTACGAAAAAAAAACTCTTGCTTCTTCATATATAGTCCAAATTCTAAACCGTAGACTTACAGTAAATTTTGTTTTTACTTATCAATCAAGCCATCATTTCCATTGTGATATCAGTTCGTTACAGTATTGATTTATCAGATAAATCTTCTAAAAATATAGTTTTTAGTATTTTGAACTGATTACCATTATAATTGAACAAAAATTTTGAAACGGTTGTTTTTTCAGTTCACACTAATATGTTCTTTTAGCCAAATTTGAGCGTGAACAGATGCATTTGTGTTCTCATTCTATTTGAATATGTCATTAAAAAATTTCAGAACATTGTCTTGTAACTTAAAATATAAATCTGCGTGAAATTTAATTCTGACTATGAATAAAGCGCATAATTTCTCCATTTTACAGTATTCAATTTTCGATGAAGCCGATTTTCTTATTGTTGTGAACATTCATATTGCAATTTTTGACTATTTTCGGCTTTGATACGTCAGAAAAGACTGAACTAGTAAACAAAAATGCTAGATTAATTTTTAAAAGTATTTATTGTTTGTTTTTGTCACATAAATACAGTTCTCGTTTGGTCAAAATAAAATATTTTCCACGTTGTTTTTTTCTAGGCTACAAAAGAATTGTTGTCCATGTTGTTTTGGTCGCTCGTGTTTGGTACCAAATCAAGGTTATCTCTCTGAAGCTGGTGCCAGTCTTATCGATACAAAATTAGGATTAAATCTTGTGCCAAAAACGAAAGTAAATTATTCTATCATTACAGGGTAGTCCAAAACAAACTTACCTCCTCTGTATTTATTGTCTTTCTTGTGTACAAATATAACTGAACTTTTTAGAGATCAGTTTAGTCGAGTAGAGTAAAGATTTCTGGACAAAATGAGACGTCTCTGAGCTCTGTACGAGCTTTTCTCATGAAACAGCATTCAATTTACGGACGGCCCTAAGAGCGTATCTTTCTTGTTTTCTCGTTAATTGTCCTGATATTTTTGGTAAGGGACCTTCCGTCCAAGCACGTGGAGATGAGTTTTGATAGCAGTCCAAACGTATCTAAACCATTTTTCTATAGGTTTTCTACGACGCTGTTTCCAATCGAATGGTTTTCGAGTTTTAAAAAAGTTTT